GAGGGAAGCGGAGGGAAGGGAAGGGGAGGGAAGTGGAGGGAAGGGAAGGGAAGGAGAGGGGAGGGGAGGGAAGGGAAGGGGAGGGAGGCAGAGGGAAGGGGAGGGGAGGGAAGGGCATGGCCAGGCTTTCAGTTAAAGAAACTGGAAAAAACAATAAAACAGGCCAAACAAGGAAGGAACAAATTCTTACAGAACAAACCAAAAACCAGTGCGAAGGAGAACCAAACGGAGCTGATGAAGGAACGAAGACCCTTCCTCAAAAGACGCAGAAGCCAGTTTGTGAGATTAAGGAGAGAAGAGAAAATCAGTGCCGTTAGGGGTGAGAAGGGATGTGAAGCGAGACTTCGTCGGAGTCCCGGAGAACCGTGCCACCCGCCACCGTCGTATTCGATAATGCAAATGGAATGGTTATTTTTAAAGAAAAATTCAGATTGCCAAAACGGACTCAAGAAATTGAGGGAGCATCTCTAATCCAAAAATCCAGAATTCACAATACTCCAAAACAGGAAACCTTTTGAGCGTCACGAGGCCACCAGTGGAAGACTCCTCAGGTGGGTCACAGTCCAAATCTCGTTTCATGCATGAAATCTTTAAAAATAGTGAACAAATTACCTTCTCTGTGTCTAAGGTGTGCATGAAACATAAATAAATTTCATGTTCGGACTTGGATCCTATCCTCCAGATATCTCATTACGTATGTGCCAATATTGCAAAATCTGAAACATCTGAAACTTGAAATATTTCTGGTCCTAGTACTTTCTGCGCTGGAAAATAGAGCTAGGCCAGGCACACAGGCTCACACCCGTAATCCCAGAGGGAGGCCAAAGTGGAGGATCGCTTGAGGCCGGGAGTTCAAGACCAGCCTGGGCAACATAGCAAGACCCCATCTCCATAAACATTTTAAGAAATAGCTGTGTGTGGTGGTGTGCACCTGCAGTCCCAGCGACTTGGGCGACTGAAGCAGGAGGGTCACCTGAAGCCAGGAGTTTGAGGCTGCAGTGAGCGATGATCGTGCCACTGCACTCCAGCCTGGGTGACAGAGCAGGACCCCGACTCAAAAAAAAAAAAAAAAGAAAACCATGGATCTCAGGGTACACCAATCACCGTCAGAGAACCAGGGCAGTCCAATATTTACCCCTAAAACAGAAGCCAGGCCAGACAATTTCACCTGACGGGGAGGTGTGGGGCGGCCCTGAGGAGGGATTGTGGCCTGGTGAGTGGCGGGCAGGGAGGTGTGGGGTGGGCCCGCAGGTGTGGAACTGCCTGTCGGAAGAGCCTCGTGGGCCACGGGGCCGGAAGACCAGGCTGGTCTCAGTTGCGGGCAAAATTACTTCCTCCTCCCTGGCTGAGGTTCACTCTGGCTCCGCGGCCTCTGCTCTGTCTGGGGTGCACACATCTTTCTCCTCTTTTGGGGCTACTTTCTCCTTCTCTTCAGGACCCCGTTTAAACCTCACCTTCTCCAGAGCCCGTCCTTGTCCTGCACCGTCTGGCACCAGCTTTATCCTCCATGGAAACCTCTGCCTGCTTCTCCAGCCCTCGCTAGCTGAGCCTGCGGGAGGCTGGGCAGTGACGTCAGCCCCGTGACCACGGTGACCTGTGGCCGGTGAAGAGAAGACGCGCAAACTTGGATTTTTTTGTTGTAGTTGTTGAGACAGAGTCTCGCTCTGTCACCCAGGCTGGAGTGCAGTGGCCGGATCTCAGCTCACTGCAAGCTCCGCCTCCCGGGTTTATGCCATTCTCCTGCCTCAGCCTCCCGAGTAGCTGGGACTACAGGCGCCCGCCACCTCGCCCGGCTAGTTTTTTGTATTTTTTAGTAGAGACGGGGTTTCACCGTGTTAGCCAGGATGGTCTCTATCTCCTGACCTCGTGATCCGCCCGTCTTGGCCTCCCAAAGTGCTGGGATTACAGGCTTGAGCCACCGCGCCCGGCCAAAACTTGGATGCGCCAGACCCTGCCTCTGCCAGGGACAGAGGGGAGAGAAGGGAGTGGGTCAGATGTGGCCCCTACAGTTGTCAAACACAGAATTCTTAGTTCTCTACCGAGAAGCTACTTAGAGCAATGACCAAACTTCTAGGCCTACAGATTAGTTACATGAAAGATTCCAAAAAATGTTCAGGGGCCGGGCTCACGGGGGCTCACACCTGTCGTCCCAGCACTTCAGAGGCCTAGGTGGACGGATTGATTGAGCTAGTTCGAGAGCAGCTGAGGGAACACAGGGAGACCCCATCTCTACAAAAAACATAGACATCACCCGGGTGTGGTGGTGCATGCCTGTAGTCCCAGCTACTCAGGCGGCTGAGGTCGGAGGATCACCTGAACCCAGGAAATCCAGGCTGCAGTGAGTGGCGATCACACCACTACACTCCGGCCTGAGCAACAGCTGGACCCTGTCTCAAAAAAAAAAAACCCAAAAAACAAAACAGCCAGAACTCTGCTTTTTGACCCTCATGGGCCCTGCAAGGCCACGGTCTGAGGGAGAAGATGCCCAGGGCTGGGACAGCCGAACCAAGCTCCTGCCGGAGTCGGGGGGCCGATCCTGACCGGGGCGCTGGAGAAGGCAGAGCAGAGGGCGCAGCACCCAGGGGCACAGCCGGCCCTGCATCCCAGAGATGCTACTCGAAGGGGCGCTCTGTGCCCTAAGGGGCCCTTGAAGGTAAGGGGATGGGCTGCAGGCCACCAAGCCCCAGAGGCCCCAAAGCCACAGCCCCAGACCAGACAGCCCGAGGAGCTGGAAGAGGAGGGAGGAGCTGGCCCCACAGCAGACGGCACCTGGCGTGGCCGCAGCTGGGCCAGCCTCAGGGGTTTGCACGCAGGGAGTCTTTGCTACAAAGCATATGTTGCTATTATTGTGGTCACTATTTTTATAGAGAAACTTGACCTTTCCACCAGCCTCACCCACTCAGCCCTAAGCCGTCTTGGAATTCTGGACACTTAGGAACAAGATGCCCACATCTGCCTCCCGGGCTCCTGCCCTTCCCTGGGGCTCCCCGTGCTGGAGGCAGCAGGAGGGGTGTGGGAGGGACAGGCCAGCGCTGGGGGAGGGACAGGCTGAGGGTGGGCTTGGAGCCAGCACACAGGGGTTAGGTCTGGCTTGTCCCTCGCCAGCCGGACGGCCCTGGGCATGTCGGGGAATCTCTCAGAGCTGGTTTCCCACGGCGGGAGGGAGCTGTTGGCTCTCACCTTGTCGTGAGGACTAAGCCAGCTGCCGTCTGTGGCCGGGGTCGTGGGGTTCTGAGTCCTCTCATCACTGGGGCTTGGCCCTGACCTCCCCTTCTGTCTCGTGAAGCTGTCAGCTGTGTGGAGACACAGCCACTTCAGTCCTCTCACAAGCCAGGGGCCAGGTCCCAGGCTAGAAACCGGCGCTGGGAGCCCAGGCCCCGCTCTCATCCTGGGGAAGCTCCAGCCTTGGGAGAAGCAGGTGAGAGACGCAGGTTCTCAGCACCTGACGGAGGGATGCCTCAGGGGGGTGAGGGAGGCTGGGCAGCGTCCGCGGAGGGGCCCTGTGAGTGGGCCCAGCGGATAGGCAGGGAGCACCTCCATGGAGGGGATGGAGACCCCCGTGTGGGCGCTGTGGCTTCTGCGGCTCCCCGTGCTGGCTGTGGGCTGTTTGCCGGTCGGCCTGGCTGTCGCTCTCAGCGGCTGCTTGGAAGCGCGTCCTTTCTTATGAAGTCACAGACGTCACAGCACCGAGTTGAAAGGAATCTGAAGAGGATTTGGGGGCTGCTCTGTGGGCCTAGATCATCGCG